AGGCATAGCTGTAGGGTGCTTGCTTGGATAGGCTTGCTCGTGCAGTTGGCCATAGTGGCCCTAAACCCTTATAAACCCTAAATCCTAAACCGTGGCCTTTGGGAAGCTAGCAATCCCTAGAGTTTAGGGTTTAGGGTATGTCATGTACTTGCTTGCTGTTACGGATTGTAAGTTGAGTTACCATAATGAGTACATGTAATAATTGGATGGTTCCCCCATTAGCAACTTAAATCAAGTTCCTTAACAGCAGCCCAGTCTACAGGGATTTTTGCACGTTCGGGTACGGCCGAAAGCCTTGTTTTTACATGCTCATATGATTGAAGTGTGCAAACTTTGGAGGGCGATGTGTTGTTGCTTACCTGTGATAAGAATGGAGGAATGGATCCCACTCGTGTGTGTAATTATGTGGCCCCTACGAATTATTGTAGTATCCACATCCCATTGAATTCCTACTTGTTCCGGTATAATCCCCAGAGCAGTTCCTTACAATACCTAGGTGACCTAGAGGTCCCTCAACCCCAAACCCTAAACCCCCAACCCTAAGCCCCAAACCTTAAACCCCAACCCTAAGCCCCAAACCCTACACCCCCAACCCTAAGCCCCCTGGTAGGAGCCCGGCATTAAGAAATGCCTGGGTGAGGCCTGCATCGTCTGTCTGAGTCAGGGCTTCTCGCAATAGAGGTCAGGTCCCTGAGGGACCCTTGGATTAGCTGGGAAGGTTTCGAGAATATCAGGTGCCTATTTTGGGGGATTATATGGGAACTGGGATAGGCAGGGGTTAATTGGTGATTATGTGGTGTCTATGTTGGGGATTGTGCAGGGATTGTTTTGCTGGGAACCCGCCATATTTGTGTGCTGATCGCTCTTCTTTCAGGGTATATACCTGGATTCAGGATCTCATTGTCATGAGCAGCAGATTGCAGAGACCGTAGAGACCTTCATGGTGAAACGCTTGCGCATAGGATTTCGGAGTAGGGGTCCAGGAGAGCTTCCCTGAATGTGCGACTCCCAAATCTTTTGCCTTATTCGTCCAATGACTTGGGGTATCTTTTGAGCATGAGCAGCCCCCACAGCCTGCGAAGTTATGTGATGTTCTAGTCTAAACTCCTTAAAGGGGAATATATAGGGGACTACTATAGGAGTTATAAAGGGGGATACTAGGAGTTCAGACAGTAGCTCAGTGCTGTTCTAACAGGTGGATTGGTGGTGCTGGATTTCTGTCTCAAGGCCTCGTTTACGACTTACACAAGGGCGCGAGGTAAGATGGCAATGGCAGTAGCATTCCCCAAAGGGTCCAAGGACCCAAATTATAGGGTGTCAGGGCCCAAATATCATTAATATTATACTACTTGCACCCTAAAACCCTTCTAGTTGGGTCCTTGGACCCTTAGGGTTCTATGTTCCAAAGCCACTAGGCAACTTTCACAATCATGGCCCTGTTATTAAGCCCCTGCATACATCAGGATCCTTGAGATAGACATGCCAAACTCTATCGTCCCCCATAAGTAGATGTACGATACCAGAATAAGATCCCGAGATGCCCCACATTATATCTGCTTAAGGGAGACTACAGCCCCAAACCTTCATCCCTAAACCCTAAGCCTTAAACTGTAAAAGACCGCACTTGTGAGATTCCCTGCCGAGCTCGCGTGGACGGACTGCAGCCAGGAAACAGGCCGCACAACTTTAGGGCCACTCTGACGTTGAGGGATTAGGGTCCAAGATCTGGGCGTTTCCGAACTAGTTCACATATAATCCTTTGTATTCAATTTCCCATCATGACCCTAACCCCAATGTGGAGGTGTTGACGAAAGTTGACGATCAGGGGTCTGTTTTGAAGTTCCCTGCAAAAAGCATTCGTGCTTTGGGGGGAGTTTATAGCGGGATCCCTACAATTCCACGAAAGCCTCATATATGCATATACCCCTCGGGTCCCTGAGCGCCTCCCATTTAGAGACACCTCCAGTGTGGTGGTTGGTCTTTAGGGTTTAGAGTTTCTGGTGAATGCAAAGGAGAAAGATTATAGTCCCCCTTAAGTAGATAGAATATGGCTTTGGGTATGTTAAAATAGGATCCCCATATAACCCATATTCTATCTACTTAAGGCGGACTACAAGAGTTTAGGGGTTAGGTTTAGGGCGCCGGCTCCTACAAGGTGACATGATTCCTGGAAAAATGTAGAACACATGCAAAAAATGGTGAAATATGAGAAAGATGTCCAAACCCTTCCCATTTGGCCCCTCTTCAGACTTTTTCAATTTGGGGGGTCCCAAATGTTTAAATCCCAATAGCAAAATGTGAAGAATGTGAAAATTCTCATACTTTTCACATGTTGGGTCACATGTTGATACATGTTTGCACATTTCTGGCACATGTTTCCTTGCTTTCAGGATTCTTGTAGCAATCCAACGGCAGAAGGTTAGAGTCCGTCCAAGCTGAGCAACTGGAGGAGTTCAGAAGCACGTTTAGGGTTTAGGGTTTAGGGTTTTAGGGTTTTAGGGTTTTAGGGTTTAGGGTTTAGGGTTTAGCATTCTGCACTCTAATCCGTAGGGCCACATCTGCCAAAAACACAACCTGATCTTTTCAAAACTTAACCTGTATCCCATAAATTTTGCACGGGCTATGGGGTGTTTGAGGCGACCAGAATTGTAGCGTCCAGGAATCTTAGTTTAGGGAACCCGTGCTTAACCGAAACCACGAACCAGCGCTGTTTTACCTCAGAATTTTCTATTTGGATCCCCCCAGGGTCCAAAATCCTAAACCCTGAATTATGTGGTTCTGCTGGGGTGCTCCTTAAGTCCTTGAGGTGTGTTGGCTACCTTGGGCTTTCATGATGTCAAGGTTCTCAGAGCCTATACTTTTTTGAGGGGTCAGGGGGGCTTGGGGCGGTGTACCATGAAAGAACCTCAGATGCTTTGGAAAACGTCTGAGTTTGGGTCCCATTAGGAATTGAGCATTAGAGTGCATGTTAGCAGAACTCTTGGAATGCAAAACCCTCTAGCAATTTCACGGAGAAAAAATTCAGTAGCCATACTGCTCAATCCAATCCCTATGAATCCACGCGGCCTCAAGTAAAGATTATCTATAGACCTTGCCACCCGAAGTAGGTAGACTCAGAGCTCCAGGGATACAAAAGCCTTCAAGCCTACATGATCTCCATATGCCTTTTACAGACATCCTACCTGGAGGGTTTAGGATTTAAGGTTTAAGGTTTGCCCTAAGGGTCCAAGGACCCAAATACTAGGGTTTTAGGGCCCAAATACTATAATATTAATGATATTTGGGCCCTGAGACCCTATTATTTGGGTGCTTGGACCCTTTGGGTTAGGGTTTAGGGGACCCTAAACCCTAAACCCTAGACCCTAAACCCTAAATTCTAAATTCTAAATCCAAACCCTAAACCCTAAACCTAACAAAAGAGGCGTTGCAAAAAACAAAAAACCTTGTTAGGGTTTAGGGTTTAAGGTTTCAAGTTTAGGGTTTAGGGGATAGACTGTTAGCAAGGGTTTCAGATCCAGGGGGGTTCTGGGCAGGATGCAGGAGCAAGTTGGCGAATCTCGACAACGCGAACATAGCTTGAGAATTTTAGGGTTTAGAGTTTAGGGTCTAGGGTTTAGGGTTTAGGATTTAGGATCTAGGGTTTAGGGCTAGACCCAAGATGAGACATAGTGGTGTAGAAGCTTGAATAAAGGGCTCAGGGGCTTAACTAGTCAATGAAGAGTTAAAATGAACAAACGAAAATTACGTGGAAGCTGGGATAATATAAGAATTCATGGGGACTATATCATGTGGAAGCCTGAATACTTCGCTAGAGCTCAAATTACATAGATCTCAAAATTGTTACTGCTGATTATTAGGCCCTTCCGCCGCTTCAGAATGGTGTCTTCTTGGTCTGATTTCACCGTTCTTCTTGTAGAGCCCTAAAGCAGAAGTAAAGCAATCAGGTTATGGTGGATACCGAAATCCTGCATGACCCTAGGTACCTTGAACCATGGGGTTTATGGCATTGGAGTATACTAGGGTCATGCAGGATGTTTAGTATCAACAGTAGTAGGATCAGTCTACAGTTTCCAAGGACTATAGAATGGTTGGAGGTATGCCAGAAGAAGGCACGATAGCTTGACAGGTATTCCTTCGTGTTGGCAGCTACGAACGCGCTTGGCACAGGCGCTGCCCCGGGGAGTTGATGTGCAGATGTGGCTTGCAAAACGACCTCAAAATCATGGTAGCAACCGCAGTGTTTACTTGTGCAAGTGCGATTGCAATATGTTGCTGTACGGTTGATAATGAAAGTCTTGTATCACCCTTGAGTACCTTCTACCTGGGGGGCAGTTGGCGGAGCAGGGCTTGCGGCAAAGACGAATAGCTTCAAAAGTACTAGGACCCTCCCTCCATCTACCCTTTGTAAACAACAAGTAGGGACCAGGTACCCCCCCATTTAAAGGGTACAAGGAGGGTCCTGGTACTGAGTGGGTTTCAGGGCTTAGGATTTAGGATTTAGGATTCAGGGTTTAGGATTTAGGGTTTAGGATTTAGGGTTTAGGATTCAGGATTTAGGGGTTTGAGATTTAGGATTTAGAGTTTAGGGCACCGCAACAGCGGCTCGAGCCTGATCCCCCCAACCTTCGCGTTTATCCAAATCAAGTTCCATTGATGCGTGACCATGGTGATGCAGCGGGCGCAGGCCATGGTGAGTTGTTCAATGTTTCATAGTATGTACTACTGCTATATAGGGGTAGTATAGAGGTTATGTAGGGAGACTGGAAAAGAAGATGGAAACTACTATAATGGGGTTATAGGGTTTAGGGTTGAGGGGCTGAGGGTTTAGCAATCGTACCAAGATATACTAAGTTTTCTTTGCTGTCGGAGTGACAGTAATGTACTGTGTTTGCACACCTCCAGATCAACATGAGACATGAGACACGTGACAAAGCAAGACCATGAGAGATGAAAACAACGAGGGATGGACGCGCGAAACATCGTAGAATGCTCCCCTTAAGGTGTGCTTGCTGGTGCTCTTCTGCCGCTTAATTCGGGTACAGTCAGGGCGTTTTGCCACATCGCCGTTTTGCCACATCACCGACGCGGGATGCCCTTATGAGCATGAAGAGGTAGAGGTTTGCTACAAGTCGAGGCTCTTTGGATGCTCGCCATACCAGATCTGCGATGATGCAAGTGGCGCTTGCACTCTTCAGAGTGACGCTGCTCTGGCGGAGGGTGCGGCGACAGTGGCATCCCGAATGCTTGCACGGGCCAAGGCTTTCAATGCTACTACGTGGTACACGATTGGCATCCTCGAGTTCACGAGGTTCACCAGAGCTGTCGTTGACTTTCACATCTACGGTAGGGTGCTCATGCAGCCCATGGACAGGCCTCAGTTCCTGGCACAGATGAAGAGTTCGAGATCGGACTTGACATCGGCCATGAAGACCTTCAGCGAAGCCTTTCACAGGAATGGCATTAAGGCAGTTGATCTGGGTGCCTTTACCGAGTACGTGGAAGAATCGCATCGGATGTCGAGGAAGCCCTGGGTGATGTGGAGGCATGCGAGGGCAACCCCTTGACAAGTGCTTGCAGTGCTGCTTTGCTCGAGATCTACGGCAACAAGATGACATTGACCGGAGAGATCTTGGACAAGAAGATTGAAAAGCAGACAGAAGAGGAAGAAGACTCGAAGGGCTCGCTGCTTCAGGCGGACAGCGGCTTTTTCGGCTTCATTGCCATGCACATGAGGATGATCATGCTGTTTGTCGTCCGACCCGTGTTGCTCATCACCCTGCCAATTTGGCTGCCTGGTTTTCTCTGCCTCATTGTCTTCCAAGCTATCGTAAGCCTCATCGAGAGGCTTACCGGCGCTGCCTTGTCAGGCGGGGCCTTTAGGCCGGCACGAACCCCGGACTCAGGCTGCTTGGGCTGCTTGGCCTGAAGACTGAAGCATCACGGAAGAAAAGTGGGTGTTGCGGCAGCCATTGTGTACTGGTATCAGCCACATGCCTACGCTAGCCCTCAAACCCGACACCCTAAAACCGGTCTTCTTCAGGCCGGTGGTCTTCACTTTCTACGCCACTGACAACCCCTCCAGCTGCCCCTGCTCAACCGTGCGGCGCAGGCGACCGTCAGCTGTTTAGGGTTTAGGGCTTAGGCCTTTTAATTTGGGTTTAGGAATTTAGGATTGGGGTTTAGGGTTGAGGGTGTCGGGTTAGGATAAGGGTGTAGGGTATAAGGATTAGAGTTTAGGGACCAGCCGGGTAGTCTAACTTTTTTTGTGCGGACCGTTCTAGTCCAAAATAACAAGATGATGATAATGACCCACTGCGACACCTATGCGCAGTCAGTGTATACCCTGGCCCCCTTCGCTGTATTAGTGTACCACTCGGTTTAAGGTTCAAGGTCTATGGCCGTGTAGGGCACCACTAACAGTCCTACAGGGTTCACTTTAAATACCCAATTATCGGGGTTTCTAGAGACCCATAAGAACCTACAGACCCATTATTTGGGTACGTAAACCTTGAAGCAGTGTTAGTATGGAGGCTGGGTAAGATTCCTGAATCAAAAGGGTCCTACTCCATCGGCGGCATTCTAGTATCCCTACACAAGCCAGCCACTCCACAAACGACATGTTTCAAAAAGGCACAGAAAGGGGCCCTATCATACCTGCTACTTCCACCATTAAAGCTCAAGTTAAGCTCAATTTCGCATGAAAATGCATCGGCCCTAAATTAGCTACCCAATCCGTGCACTCGGTTATCTAGAACCCCTCAGTCATGCTAAGCCCTGAACTATCAACCCTAAACAGAAAGTCCCAATCCTAAGTCCAAAACCTTCAGCGCTGACCGCTAGACCTCAGGGTTTGAGGTTCAGGGCTTGGGCTTAGGGTCCAAGCCTACTGCAGATAGAGGAAATCTTGCATCACACTATGAGCCTTCGTAGTTACAAACCTCGGCTGAGGGTTTTTTTGGTGGCTGAACCAAACAAGGTTATGTTTTTCACCTTGTAAAGTTATACCCAGGAAGAAGATTTAGTAGATGGGAGTTTCTCGATTTCAGACCCCCTTTACATCCCCTGACGTTCTGTGTGGTCTCTATACTCTATACCCCTAAACCCGAAACCCTAAACTAATAAGCCCTAAACCCCAAGCCCATCAGCCCCCAAAGCCTTGCTGGAGACACACCAAACCGCAGATCCGATCCTTAGTAGGCTGCAGGGTTTGGGTTCCCACTTGAACTTGTCCGCGCCTTGCCAGTCGCTACAGTGACACAAGATGCTGAGCATCAAGTTGTTGCACTGCCGGCTAATTTCGTCTAAGGCAATTACAGGAGGGGAGTTACCACGTAGGGACCTCATATGAGACTTGCATACCCCCTACGTACCCCACACCGTGGTCCAGAAAATCTCTTATATAACCCTTGTAAATCCCACCCCCATTGGAAACTGCCTGCCTGTAGTTGGTGTTAACTTCTGGAAAGTGCATTGGTGAGGGTGGTGAGGAGGATGAGTGGTAGTGGTGTTGTTATCAATGGTCGCTGGCAGTAGTAGCAGGAATGACGAGAAGTGATGGGGGGTTCGCGTATGGAGTACTAATTGTTATAGGGACCCCACAAAAAGGGATCCCTCATTGAAAGCCTGAACCCTAAAGCCTCCCAAAAAGGAATCCCTTGTTTAAAGCTCCCCATATCCTAAATGGGGTATGGTCCCCCTATAAGTAGATAGAACATGGCTTTGGGAATATTATACTAAGATCCAGGCCGCTATTCTACATACTTTTGGGGGTTCAGGTAGACCCTAGTGAGGAATTCTCTCTATCAAATGGCCTGACCAGGGCATGGAGGATCTCGAAAAGTCCCCCTTAAGTAGATAGAATACAGGGTTTATGGTTTAGGGTCCCCCTTAAGCAGATACAATTTGACAATATGGAGTATATGGGCTATATTTCGGGGTTTCTGGCTATCATTTTGCTTACTTTTGGGGTCCAGGTAGTAGTAAGGAGGCTAACAAGGTGAATAGTTTGGCTTGTTTTACCACGTGCAGGGGGTATATACATAAGTGTACGTACTACCTTCCCGGTGACTTTCCACGTGATCGAAAACCTTAAGACCTAAAATCTTAAACCCTAAACCCTGAACCCTAAAACTTAAACCCTGACTGAACCTCAAACCCTAAACCCTAAACCATGTCAAACCCTGAGTTGAACGTGCCAGGTCAGTGTGACTTGGGAGTGCTGCGAAGTGCCCGGAAGGCAGGGTTTAGGGTTCGGGGGTTTGGGGTTTAGGGTTTAGGGTTTGGGGTTTAGGGTTTCGGGTTTCGGGTTTAGAGTTTGGGGTTTAGGGTTTAATCCGAGCACTACAACAATAAAAGGGACCATATTTAGCCGTTTCATGGTAGAATTATTCTCCAAAGACTAGCTACAATTAAGTGGCTTTTCGTATAGGGAATTTTAAAGAACAAACTTGGGGAACCTATCCTGATAATGGAGATATGCAATACATTCCTATTCATTTTTTCATTAATAGAGGTCCAAGAGCCCCCAATGACGCAGGCATGCATTCCTAGTCTTGTTTAAACGAGTTCCAGGAGCCCCAATCATTCCTTAATCTGGCGCGCTTCATTCCTTATTCAGGCGGGGGTGTGGGGGGGCCCCCCAAGTTGTTGAAGTGTTCGGATAGGGTTTTGGGATTTCGGTCTTCGGTTTTAGGGTATAGCGTTTGGGGTTTGGGGTTTTGGGTGGAGGGCTTGGGGGGTGAGGATTCTGGGTTTGGGATTGAGTGCTTAAGGTCCTTAAAGCCCAAACCCGTAGGGCTTTCGATTTCGAGAAGAGAATTCCTGAGCAAGGGCTCATGGATTGGGGTTCTAACAGGGTTGGGCTTTAGGGCTTAGGGTGTAGGGGTGCTTTCATGGCGGCTGCATTCAGACCCTCTCAGTATCCAACTAGAGCGGTATTAGGCAACTGCGGTGATGATTGCGTGACGGCTCGGCATGGGGCACTTGGAATATATGTAGCGATTTGACTACAGAAGATTGTTCTATAAGGGACCAATGTTAAGCCTCAACTAAAAACCCTGAACCCTAAACCCAACCCCCTAAACCCTAAACCCATGTGGATCCTACCTTCTACGCAACACCCCAATGCCAGCAATGCTGCCAGTGGCACGCTCGCCGCCTTCGAAGTCCAACTAGTTCCCGCAGAGCTGCAACATGCAAGAGTCTCAGATATATTAGGATTTAGGGTGTAGGCTTGTGGGTTTAGGGTTTTAGGGTACTCAATCCCCAGAGAGGTGTGTTTTTCAGGTCGGTGAAGAATCATGTGTCGGGCCCTTTCATTGCGAATGGACCCCCGATGTTGAACATCGTGCGTGTCCACCCTTCACTTGTGGCTGGAAGAATTTGGTTAAACATGCTGGGTGTATATGTGGCAATTTGGAGGTGCGACGTAATGATAAGCTGCTTATAGCCTGGGTTATCATTTTTGTAGACCCACCCCGAACCATGACCTGCTAGGGAAGGGTTTAGAGTTTAGGGTTTATTGGTCTGAACAAGGAATCTAGTAATGCAGTCTCTGATTTGGGTTTAGGTTTTGAGACTGGGTTTAGGGTTTCAAGGCCTCTGTGACATCAATTGACTCGTATCCTCAAGGGCAAGCCCTACTCCTAATAGCTTAGCTAAGGAATGGAAAAGAATATGGAAAGTACGTTAAGGGGGTATATAAGGACTACTAGAAGGATCCCTTCCTTCATTCTTAGCTAACCAAAGGCGAGATAATAATAAGGCAGCACTGAGAAACGTATACAAAACAAAATGAAGCGAATCGTGGAATTCTATGCAGGTTGTGTAGGGATTGCGTCCCACAAATAGTAAGCCCCCTCACCCACTAAGCAAGATTCTGAACGTAATACTGCTCCAATGGGGTGCATATTTATCGTGGGTATTACTGCTATGAGAGAAAGTGATGGTTTTCGTCTAGATTCACCCTTCGCAGGCCCGAGGCGGGTAGGCACCGAAGAGCTGTCAGGACTCGCAGGAAGCATCAGGGAGTATTCGGCCCAGGAATACTAATTGAATTAGCTCATTAGACCCCGTCTAAGGGTCACAATAAATCATTCCCGAGATTGTTGATTACCTTGACAACATACACAGTATGTGCCTGTGGGCCCTTGACACTGTGAAAGTGGCTCAGGGCCAAGATCCCTTATAAAGACCCCATTGATCCCCTTATAATCCGTATATTATAAGATATCCCAAGAGATCCCCATAAACCCTAAATCCAAAACTCCAACGTGTCAGGCCATAGTGGATACCTTCAGACATAGCTGCCATTGACTTGCCCTGGACGGCGGAATCAAGGCCGCAATCACTGAAACACTGATTTGCCTAAACCCCAACCCCTAGATCGTCAGCCCCCCAGCCCTCGGAACCCCTAGATCCCTCAAACTCCCACATTACTGAATCCTAAGCCCCTCGGCCACACACCCTAAACCCTAAGCCCTCCACCCTAAACCTCGACAAAACAAAGAACAAGCTCCTAAAAACCTTAAACCCCATATACCCATAGAGCCCTTATATAGCCCCT